TCTCAGAATTTAGAATTGTTAGAATTTCAGAAGTTCAGAATCCAAAAATCTAGTAATCTTAGAATCTCAGAAATTCAGAAATTCAGAAATTCAGAAATTCAGAAATTCAGAAGCTCAAAAATTCAGAAATTCAGAAATTCAGGAATTCAGAAATTCAGAAATAAGTTTTTTGGATTCAGGCAATTTTAAAACTCTGAAAACCAATCTGAAACCTGAAAAACTTTGGGGACTTTGTAAGTTTGAAAAAATCGAATTTTTAAATTTCAAAATTTCAAAATTTCAAAAAAAATTTCAAGAAAAAAATTCTTAAAGACCGTGTCTTTCGGCTAGTTCTATTCTCACTAGAAACAAACCCAAGAATCGTTGCCCTTAGCTTTTATTTTTCCTAGAAAAAATTCTGAAAACCCGGAAAACAAGGGGAAGAGGGACAACTGGAAAAACAAGGAGAATAATTGAACGGCATATTCTACGAAATTCAGACAAAAAACGGACCAAAAAAGTTATGAATACTTGAAAACATTCGAGGTTGGAATTGGCTGGAATTGGATTGGCCGCAATTGGAAAAGGACTAGAAATTTTATTTGGGGAGTTCGAAGATCCGGAAGTTTGAAAAAGAATAATTGAAAAAATACTTTTAATTAAAAAAAATGTAGGAAAATGGTCTGAAAATCCTCAAAAGCCTGAAAATCAGTTTGCTCTTTTTTCATCCCAATGTCCGAAAAATATTTCCGAGAGTTAAAATGAATTTTCTGAAATTCTGACTGTCATTTTCAGCTCAAAAACATTGTCAGATATTTTTTTGATAACATAAAAATCTGGAATTTATACCCACCTGTGTACACAAAAACACCACCTGGAAGTGGAGAAAAGAGAAGTCAGAAAATCAAATAAATACAAAATCGTATTATTTTTTGATTTTTTTGCAACTGACTGGAATTTTTGTTTACTTTTCAGTGTACACATATGAGATTTGTTAGCATTTGGGGAATCGATTTTTAGAAATTTCCGTTAATTTGATTTGGAATTTCCGAACTTCCGCATTTATGAATTTTCAAATTTCTGAGATTCCGAAGTATAAAAATTCAAAAGTTATAAAATTCCGAGATTTTGAGATTCAGAAATTCAGAAATTCAGAGATTCTAAATTTCTGAAATGCTGTAGCTCTGAAATTCTGAGATTCTGAGATCCTGAGATTCTGAGGTTCTGAGATTCTGAGATTCTGAGACTCTGAGATTCTGAGATTCTGAGATTCTGAGATTCTGAGATTCTGAGATTTTGAGATTCTGAGATCTTGAGATTCTGAGATACTGAGATTTTGAGATTCTGAGATTCTGAGATTCTGAGATTCTAAGATTCTGAGATTCTGAGATTCTCGGGTTCCTAAGTTCAGAAATTTATAAATTCTGAATCACAAAATCTGGGAAGTTCAGATTTTGAGAATCAGAATTTCCGAATTTCAGAATTTCTAAGTTTCAGAATTTCAAAATTCAAAAATAAAAGAAATTCGAGTACTTCAGAATTCCAAAATTTGAAATTCAAATTTCTTCGAAATCTCAAAATTTTGTAAACTATGATTTTTTCGAATTTCAATAATTTTTGAAATTCGAAAATTCCTAAAATTTTCCGTTTCTAAAACATATAAATATCGGTTCAAAATGGTGATTTTTTTTGAATTTTTCATTCGAAATTCAGAAAAATTCTATAACTTCAAAACTTCGATTTCAGAAACTCAAATTCTGAGATTAAAATCTTAGTTTGAAGAACTTCGAATTTTAGATTTTCTTGAACTTTTTGAATTTCCTTATTTTGAGTTTTACTAAAATTCCGAAATCTAACTTCCTAGAACTTCCAAAACGAAACAAAAATGTCTCAGTTGGCTCCAAAAAAGAGCTCCTTGTCATGCGATAAATCTCTCGAATGGACACACTCCAAAATAGCAACTCTTTTCTTTTTTCCCCAAAAATGTTTGCACTCGATTTTCCCATTTTTTCCCTTCCTTCTCTCAAAATTACCACAAAATAGAGGAGGATGGGGAACAAAAATGGAACTAGGTGAAAAATGGAAAACAACGAATTTTTCAGTTCTGAATTTTTTAGAGAGAAGCAGTGTGTATTACGAGGAGACGCAGAGAAAAAGGAAATGGAGATGAAAAAGGAGTCGAGGAAGGAGAACGTATGTGCTGCTGCCTTTTATCTGTCTGTGCTCCTTGTTGTGCGTAAACAATTGAATACGAAAATGATGAGATGATCCCTATTGTCTATTTTTTTGTATAGTTGGAGCAAAGAGGAAGAAGGGAAGGAAAAGAAGAAGAGGAATGGTCCAATTTCAGGGGGATGGGACAGTGAGGGGGCATAATGCCTAGCTCAGCCTGTAACGGCGCGGCACCTTTAACAATTTGCCCATAAGTTTAACTTTTCATGAGCCAAATATTTTAATAAAATCATATAATGTTCCAGATCCTTTAATAATCAGAATCAGAAAAATAATCCTGTAAAATAGAAGGGCGCTGATTTCCAAACTATTTATTTTGGTCCAATTTATCTCGGTTCCTGTAAAAGATATCATAAAGTAGTCAACTAATATAATGTTCATCATAATATTAGTCATATTTTGTTAGTTGATCACTTTTTGATATCTTTTACGGGAACCAAGATATATAAAGTCAAAATCAAGATACCCTTTTCATAGGTTTCGTGGATCTTTCTGTTTTTATCGGAGAATTTTCTGGACAAAACTGTGATTGTTTCAGTGGTTTTAAAGCATTTGAAAGGGGGACTCCGACCAATAATTTTTATTGCATTAAAATGTGTTAAAAGTTATCTATTTTCCGAATATTATTGCGAAAAAATTCAAAAAAAATCCGAAATTCCCAAAAAACGCCGTTGAAAAGGAAGAAAATTCAAAAAAAAAGGTGCCGCCGGGGGACGAGGATTTTCAGTGAGAAACCTAGGCCACGGCAGCGGGCGCCTTTCCTATGGGCAAATTTT